CGGAGGAAAAAAAAAACATGAATCGATTCTCTTGCGGACGTACCGATACATTGGATCGTTGGCTGTTGGATCGATGCATCGATACAAAACGATTATTATTTACACACCTTATAAGCATGATGGAAAATGGGTGGATGGATAAATGTTAACTGGAGAATAGAGACTCTAAAACATGCCTTTAGCTGACAGAGCAACCCACTTAAAGCAGTAATTATACCAAGAGATGTAAAGAAATATGTAAACATTTGGAATAAAAAAAAAAAAAAAAAAAACATTTTCGTCTGTCAATGTGCTCTATCCAAACTTCTCAAGTTTAAAAGTTTTAGTTTCATCTGGCTTAATTTAGTAAAAAGTCTTCTTTAAGGAACCTTTGGCTATCCAATTATTAATCAATTAATCGTTAGTTGCAGCTCTAACTTTTTGTCATGATGGAATGTTAAAAGTGGAATATTTTTTTCTCTTTCCTTTTTAAAGTACCTGTCTGCCACAGCCTCACCGCACTGAATGGATACTGCAAGTAACATGAGAGGAAACATCTTTGACATTTCTACTTCAAGTCATTTGTCAAAAAAAACAATACCCAAACGTCTTTAAATCATAATAAATCATAGATGTTTTCTGCCTAACAAAAGCACAAACATGCAGGTGAGAAGATTTTCAAAATGAGCTACAAGACAAGGCTAGATTTCAGAAATAAAGTAAAGGCAAACCAGGTGGGGTAGGGTCCCAAATGAATGACAGTTCCTGTGAGGAAAGGCTGATTGAAATGCATGTTTATGCTAATCAGAAGAAAACAGAAGAATTGTATAATGTCTTCCATTTTCCCGGTCGATTACATTAGTTTCCTGTCAGAGGACGGTCATCACTTCCATCTGAAATCAGCCGTCGTTGCTGACAGGAAGTGGAGAGACCTTAACAAGTTTGGACATTTCAGATTACAGCAGTACAGATTCAGAATTTTCAGTTGGGTATTTATAGTTCAGTGTTTGAAACTTCAATCATCTTTGGCACAATTTTAATAAACAGAAAAAAAAATTATGTCTCAACTAGATTGTTACACAAATAAATTGAGCCATAGAAATAAACAACACAGAATTAAACTAAACTTAATCATGTCACTGACTCTTACCAATCCAAAACTCTGCATATTTGCACCATACATATTTAATGCTCTGAACTTCCATATTTGGTGTTTTTTGCACCATGTTTTCTTTTTCTCCCATGATGTTTACATTTGATCACTGCTGCGCTTTGAGAAATGGAAATATTCTGAAAGCTGTCTAAACAAAATGTTGTTTTGTGTGCAGTCTGTGTTTACAAAATTACAATAAAAGTCAAAGTCTAAGTCTGAACACAATAAACTTCCAAAGGATTTATGTTGGTCACTTACTGATTTGAATGATGCTTCATCTGTCATGTTATGGTGACTTTATCTGGGCGTGTTTGGTTTGAAGATGAACATTGATCTGAAAGCAAAGCTGTTGCAAAGCGTAGCTATCTCTGTTGGTCCCTACAAAGATGAAGCCCTCTCTGTTTTATGACCTCAGCTCTACTCTATTTAGGATAAATATTTAAATGTGATGTGCATGGCCAGATTGTTCTAAAATTTGTTCATCTTCATGATTGCTGCTCAAGGATTTGTTGCATACATCAACAAATCCTACATTCTTAATCGCCCCTTTGTTTTATCTCAATCTAAGCTCGTAGCTTCTGTTCATCCATCTGCCTTTAAGAAATCCCTCAGCATTTATTTCCCTCTTTTGTTCTTCAACTCTGTCCTTTGAGGACTTCTCCCTCTTAAATCTTTGCATTAGGAGGTTAGTAACACTCCGACCTTCTCTGTCCTTAAATGTAAATCCCAGAACGTTATGTGCCAGCGACGGCCGTCGTATCTCCCCAAGCACGCTGGGGCCCCACATGTGCGCTCTAAATCAGAGCTGTGAGGGGACAAAAAGGTTCATTAGTGCCGTGAGGTGATGGGTTATCTCATGCAGGTTTGAGGTCTTTGATCTGTGTGAGGATTGTCTGCATTCTTCTTGTATCTCTGAGGAGGCTGCATGATGAACTGGGATTTTCCTACATGCACAGAAGAATAACATCAGTACCTTTTTTTTTCTTTTATCTCAACTTTATTTAAAAAGCCCTTAAAATTACCACAGCTGCCGCAAAGTGTTGTACATGTCAGGTAAAGTTAAAATAGTAGAAAACAACATAAAAATTTTGAGTAATAAAACAAATATAATACAATCAATTAATTCAAACAAATAAAACCAAATAAAAGCAATAAAACAAATGCAAAGATAGAGTCTCAAGCTGTGTTAAAAGCCAAAGAACAGAAGTTTTAAGGGCGCAGCAGGTCTGACTGAGGCACTGACCATGAGCGTAGGGAGACTTAAATAATATAAATACAATTATGCTGAAAATGTTTGGCTTGGATGTTACCATACAAATTTATAAGCAAGGGTGAATATCAATGAGTTATAATATATTAAAATGTCTAATATTAATTTTGCTTCTCTGATATTTAACTCACTTCCTCCCGACCTCCGCAGTATTGACTCTCTCCCCTTATTCACAGCCAGACTCAAAACCCATCTGTTCCAGCTCGCTTATCTGTGAATATACTGCTCTTTTCCCTATCCATGATTGTTTTTGGTTTTTTATGTTCCTGTATCTGTATTTTCATCTCTTTTTATTTATTTTTTTGTATTATTTGTAAAGTGACCTTGAGTGTCAAGAAAGGCGCTGTTAAATAAAATGATTTATTATTATTAATCTTTTTATTTTAGAAAATTTTAATCTTACTGTAAGTCAGAAACATTGGAAAATAATTTTCAACCACAGATGTTATGGCCGACACACTCATGGGAACACAGCAGAATTGACTGTGAAGCCAACAAGGAGAAAAAAGCCCCAACAAGTTCTCTATATCTAGAGAACTAGGCTGTTTAAAGAGCTTCATCAAAACAGGAAGGATTAGTACCGGTAGATGCAACCCTGAGAGAACAGTCCATGGTTCCAGATCCACCTCAAAAAGAAATCCAGACTGCCACTTATTTGGGCAAAGGAGGCACTAAGTACAAGCCAGCAGCTCAGAGGGTTAAAGTTCTCTCATGTTGTATCAAACGGAGTTCCAAAAGTCTGGAGAAAGAGTGGAGAAGCAGAGAGTCCACATTGCTTTAGTTCTGGTGGGAACTTTCCTCTGTAACAAATAGGGTTGTCACGATACTAAACTTTTCAACTCGATACCGATACTAAGTAAAATATTCGATACTCGATACCATTTTCAAAACCACAAG